AGAATTGGATTTTTTTTTGGGCCACTTTCAGCCCAACCAAAAGTGAGTTGTCTTAACTCTGGGTATAAAGGGACTCTAATGTTAAATTGTTTTGAACCAAACCACCAGTATCGTGGACTACTACACCACTTATCGGACCACTATCGAATGCGATCTATTGGGTTTTTGCAGTTGGCTTTGATTGGGAGAAATGAGTTGGTGCGACAACAGTGTGGCAAGCAAAAGGTCTGAGGAGGAAAAGTAAAAGCGGGAGAAGCGCGGGGAACGGCCTAATTAAACTAATAAGCGGCTCCTGGGGTCCTCATTGGGCGCGGGGCTCAAGGGTTCCCACAGCAGAGCCATCTCGCGGCTGCATCTCGCCCTTACGTGTCACTAGGAGTCGTGTTGCACCTTTGTTTATGCTCATAATCACTCGTTATTTCCCCGACCCGCGCTCGGCCCGCCGCAGTATTTCTCCGACGCAGCGCTGAAATTACAGTCCGAGGCAAATACTTTTCGCGTACGAGTCACATGCGCTCAGCGGGCCGATTATTGAAATTGATAGACAAAGCTATAGACAAAGAAGACAAAAGGGATATGGAGGGATCCTATTGGTGGAAGCGAATGGTTGCAATAGACAAAGGACGTAGGTGATAGACTAACTAACGGCAACCCACTGGAGACCCGACAGTTAGTCCATCATTTTCTCCTTAGTCTATAGGAACCACACATATTAACCAATAGGTTAGCTCCATACTCTCTATGTCCTTTTTGTCTATCGCCGTGTCTACACATTTCAATAATCAGCCCGCTGACCTGTTCGAATATTTTGGAGCTTCATCCGAACTGGATGGGCCTGCAGCAAACTTCAGCTAGAGCGAAAAGAAGAGTCCGGAAAACGGCTCAAAAATCACGATGAGCGCATTGGAAATGTCTGGAATACACTCCTGAATTACAATCTGCGTCAGAAATATGCGTTTTTTAACGCTTCTCGCTTCGAAAACGATACTTCGGCACAAGAGAACATTCCGTGAGAGGAGTCGCTCCATCCAACCTTGTGCACAGGGATGCTACACAATATTCAACATGCCTGACGCTACCGCTCGAAAATCGCGAGGAAGCACCATGGACACCATGTTCTTTATTAACGCACCGAGATATAAACACGCTGGTTGTTAAAATCCCGATTCGTCTCGTGTGTTTTGGCGGATTGGCGTCGGCCATGTTGAATATTATGCGGCATCCATATGCGCATGAGTTGGATGGAGCGACTCACCATACGATATGCTCACCATGTACTGCAGTATCGTATTTGAAGTCGGAAGCTTTAAAAAACGCATATTTCTACGGAGATTGTAAGGTTAGGCGTGTATTTCAGACTTTCTCGATGCGCTTTTCGTGATTTTGGAACCATTTTCTATTAGACGACTTTTTTTACTCTAGCTGAAGTTTGCAACTGGTCTATAGTGCAATAATTGGCATCGACGCGGTGGAGGTCCATTCGTAAGGAACCTCGAAAACACGAATTCGGCTGAAAGCGCCCTCAAATCCTGGTGATACTCTCCACTTGGCCAGGCAGTTGATTAAGTTGCCTATCCGAACCAAATGAGACCCAACGAAGGTCATCGAAATCGCTAGATTCACACGCGAGTGTGCTAGCTGGTAACATGCATGAAAGTTGAAAAAAATGTTTCCTGTAATTCTAAGGAATTTCAACCAGTACTTCAAATCATTTTCCTGTTTTTACATTTTTTTATCAGCACAAAGAGATTGCGATTTACTGGCGGTTGCTATTTCGACGGCGAAACTTCCAGACCACGTATCTCGGCTTGCGACGTTACAGACTTCCTGCTACGCTCTATTTTTTAAACGAAAAATCACTCAACTTCAATTTTTGGAAACTTCCATGATTTTTCTTTCTCGTCCGAAAAAAGCTCTGTGAAAACGTCAAAGAATTATATTGATTCTTTCTCCTTCAAAAAAATGAAACAGAAGCGGAGATTTTAAACAGCCGCAAACGAGATACGTAGTTTTGTATCTTCACCGTCGATTTGCTTGCGACGTATATACTAAAACGTATTAAAAATGGTGCTATTTATTTGCATGGAAACTGCTGTTTCTGTGAAAATGCTCGAACAATGAACATTATACACCTTTTGCTCGTTTCTAGCGGCGTAACACACCATGTACCTACAATTTTCACTCTTGACCATCTCATGCTTGTGCATACGATGAACGGCCGATGTAGAGAAATCCTCACTTACAAGATATGAAGTTTATGACGCACATGAAAGCTTTATTGAAAAATTGCATTTTTTTACGGCTCGGGTCTTGAAACTCTACCACTGAGTAAGAAGACTAATGATGGAAAAAGTTGAGAGAAAAACGCAAAATGAAAAAAAAAACCAGTGCATTAGCACCAGACTCAATAATTTTAAAACGAGTCTGCGTGCGCTCTCACGTGCAAACTACGAGCAACTCTGCGTCATCACTGATAATTACTCCCCCATCCTCTCGTTCTATCGCCTTTTTTGAGATTTTTCGAACTTCACGTTCAAATTGAATGTCACGCTGTCAGTTGACAAAAATTAAATTTCCCCGAAACAGCAGGGTATTTTCCTCTGATAAAAAAATACAGGTTTCGTTTGAATGGGAATTGGGACAGAACTAGGCCTACTTTCGGAATGAGGAAGTGTACTGTGGTAACGTTCGACTTCTAATATTCCAGGTCAAAAATGTTTCAGTAAGATCAACTGAGTTTAAAACGGGCAACCGCGGATATTTCAGTTGTGCAAACCTCGAAAAAAGGCAATGGCTTGACTCGGGTCATACATGTATGTTCGTCATTGAGATGGTCATCGTCATCGTCATCTACACGACACTCAATTCTATGCTCAGGGCCGGATTTACTTACATGCCGCCCATGGGCCGCCTGTATTTTGCCGCCCCTTTTCTCATTCGTTTTGAAACATCAATAAAAGCCCTCAAGTAAACGTGCCGGAGGAAGAGAGGCGTGCAAGACGCGTTTACTCGTGTTGGTTACATTTCTTGTGAAAGCCGTGTCAACACTACAAGCGAAAGTTCACGGAACTTGGCGCGAATGTTAAGTTCCGTAAACCTATCTCTGTATGAACAAGGCCCTCCATTTATAAGAGATGAACCAAAAAATTATGAAAGAACAAACATAAATGTGGTTTAATAATTTTAACTTCCGCCGCGCCGCGCCACGCTGACCGCACTGTATTTGGCGCAATGCGTGAAGTATTCCTACAGTCTTACATGCGCTACGCTATGCGTTTCGGGTCGACCGCTGCTGCACGCACTGTGTTCGACGCAATGCGTGAAGTATTCATGCAGTCTTGTAGGCGCTATGCGTTTCACGCTGCCCGCTGCTGACCGCAGAGACCGCACCGTCTTTGGCGCAATGCGTGAAGTATTCATGCAGTCTTGAAGGCGCTAATATGTGTTACATGCAAACCGCCGCACCGAGGGCTTCTCCTTTTCATCTTACGTTCTCGTCACCATTGCTCTCTGCGCCGCGCCGTTAAATTAGAGATATACTCTCAGGAAATGAGAGATTTTGTCACCTTTTCTCGTTCGTAATTTTTTTGTCTGAAACTGATTTTTCTTTATGGCTACATTTAAAAAAATTGCAAAATTTGCCGCCACGGGCCGCGGCCCATTTGGCCACCCCCTCAACCCGGCCCTGTACTCAAATATTTCAACGGAAGCTAACGGTGGTTATCAAAAACATAAACTCCGCTGCTTCATATATCTTTCCAACTAAAATGGATTAATTAAATACGTAACGAAGTACATATCTGACATACTTTCAGCTTTAAAACAGGCTCAAGTATTTGAAATTCGTCAGAGGGTTTGCGAGAAAACTTGACTGTATTGAGACCACCTACAGTCAGCGCCATTGATGCTAAGCTATGGCTTAGCTTCGGATATATCCTTCTATTTGTCATCACCGCAGAAGGGAATTCATAACGTCGGTCATGTTGAATATTATGTAGTATTCAAGTGCACAGGGGTTGGATAGAACGACCCCTCTCACGAAATGTTCACCAGTGCTGTAGTATCAGGGTGTATAGTTTTTTTTCTCATTTTGAGAAATCCTGATTAATCCTGATTTTTGACTGCAAAATCCTCATTTCATAATTATTCCAAATCCTGATTTTTTGCGGAGAAAAATTAGGCGAATGTAACTTCATACAAATAGCTCGATACAAATATCCGATCAGATGGCCGACTTTTCTCAAATCCTGATTTTACGACCGATTTTTCATCAAATCCTGATGAAACCGGAATTAAATCCTGATCGACCTCAAATCCTGATAGAATCGTAAAAATCCTGATGCTAGACACCCTGTATCGTTGGCGAAGCAGGAAGCTCAAAAAACGCATACTTCTTACGCCGATTTTTTGCACTGTAGGAGGTGCAGACCCATTTCCAGGCTTTCCGGATGATCCAGACCAGCGCACCCCGTAGAGAATTTGCACACAAACGTTGTATTGCTTCATCTAGGAGCGTCTCATAGGCTGAGTTCGCAGTATTTTTCATAATTTTTTTCTGACATGGAAAATTGGGGCAAAATAGATTTAAAAATGAGAAAATTTGCCGCCTTACGTCATCTGGCGGCATTTGCCATTGAAACACATGTATAAAAGCGAATTAGGTTATTTTGTCATATTTTCTCCAAGAATTTTCCAACTTAGAAACCAAGGATATCCTCGTGTTCAGTTTTCCTGGCAGTATCATTTTAAAGATGAGATTCACATAGGCGTAGCTAGGGGGGTCCTGGGGGGGCCTGGCCCCCCAGAAATCTCGTGCCCCCCCCCCCAGAAAAACGGGATCCTCCATTCCTCACCCACCCCCCGCTCTCTTCACCACGAGAGGTGGTCCCATGCCCTCCCCCCAGAAAAATTTCCTAGCTACGCCCCTGGAGATTCACAAAATTTCAGACACCCGCAATTTCTTCATTCTCTAAAAAAGTTGAAAGACGGCGAATGCTTACCGATGGGGTTTCAGTCTCTGCTCCGCCGAGGGCGGCCGACCTTGCCTTTGCGGACGGTGGTCTGGGCCTGGGTGGAGATGCCGGAGCCTTTGATGAACTTGTGCCAGTCCTGCTCGCAGACGACGGCGCCGCCGAGGAGGTAGTAGCGGTCGCCGGAGACGAGCTGGAGCCCGCACTTGGAGCACGCGAAGCACTTGACGTGGAACACCTGACTACTGGGCCCCGCCCCCGGCCCCGGGCCCCCGCTCCCCGGGCCGCCCCCCTGGCCCCCCGCGCTCCCCGCCCGCATCACCAGCTCCGACGGCGGGATCATCTGACTGCACGCCGCGCACGCCGCCGACTGACCGAACAACCTGAAACAAACAAACAAACCAATCAATTATTTTCCCGTACACCGCACATTTACATCAAATGGACGTATTTCTACCAAAAAGAGACCTATGTGGAGGTGAGAAATATGGGGTGTGCTCGTCGAAGCTGCCTAAGAAGCAATGAAAAGTGGGCGTGATTCCTTTTGAAGAATTGGAAAAGCGGGATTTTACATTCTATCAAACAGACCTATGTGCCAACTGAATGCGGAACTCATGAGCCGCGGGCATGGCAAGAGAGCGTTGTGGACAGGGCTCATGAGTTAAAGAGCCCCCACGACGATGTCCCCGCCGCCGCGCCCCCGTGCTCACCCTCGTTTGTTGCCGCTGACGTCACTGGCGCTTTATTATTCTCATTCACTCTTACGGCCAGAGAACTAACGAGCAAACCTCATATTTCTCACCTCCACATAGGTCTGTTTGGTAGAAATACGTCCAAATAATACTGGGGGGCTGCGCCTCCTGTCCCACGATTGCCACAATGCACCACTAGACAAGGTACACGGAGAAAAAAACCTTGTGCGTGGGACCCGAAGTTTAGGTCATATGGATCTGTGAAGTTTTCGGATTGAGCATCTGAACACTTTAGGTCTAGCTGCCGAGGTTCGGATCACACATCTGAAACTTCAGTTCCAACATCTGAAGTACTACAGATGTAAGAACAGATGGTTCTCGGATGGTTCAGATGGTTTCCCGATGTGAAAACCGAAGTACTTCAGATGTTGGAACTGAGGTTTCAGATGTGTGATCCGAACCTCGGCAGCTAGACCTAAAGAGTTCAGATGCTCAATCCGAAAACTTCACAGATCCATATGACCTAAACTTCGGGTCCCACTCACGAAGTTTTTCTCTCCGTATACGAATTTAAGCAATCTGATACATGTTCCTTAACCAGAATTTCACGTGGAACACGATTCGCGCAACGCAAATTACTGAAACCAACACTTAACGAAGATATTAACGTTTTTATTTCACACTGGTTACGAGGAATTCGAACTGCCCGCTCACAAGAAACTCAAAGCTCTACGCGAGTCAAATCGCGCACTACAACGATTTCAACAAGCTTCTCAATCGAGTAACGTTCATTTCCCACCATGCGTTGTTCAAACTATAAGCAATTTGCTGTAGCTGAGCCAAAGCGTCAAGATTAAGGTTGCCAGATATTTAAATCTCAGAGACTGTCATGATAAAGTTTAGCACGCGATATGAATCACGCAGAGCATTGAGTTTTCATGAGCGGATGGTTTGAATTCACGCATCAAGAATCATTAAATATCTTCGTTAGAAGTTTATTTTGGTAATTTTTGTTGTGCGCATCGTGTTCTACGTGAGATTTTGGTTAAGAAACATGTATCAGAACAGGCTCGGACTGGCCATAAGGCCAATCTGCCAATGGCAGATACGTCCCCTTGACGCACCGAAAACGCGCCCCCCTGACAGACAGCAAAATAAAAAATAAGGACCGAGAATTTATGCGGAACATTTCTTAAATGAACGGTAGAGGAGAGAGTTAGGAGTAAAGAAAGGTGCTTTTGATAGTGGTAAAGCGAGGTCCAAGGACTACTTTCTGAAGTAAACACGTAAACACTTTTCTGCGAAATTTTCACCTTTTTGTTGACATACAGCCGCTTTATCATCCTCTTCCTTCATTCGCTATATATAACTCCCTTAGAAGCGATGGTTGATTCGATTTTTAGACATACTCACCCTTTATAGACCTTAAGAGAGACTTTTAATCATATTTCTTCCTTTTAAAAATGACTATCGATTTGGACATACCACGGCATATCTCGGGAAAACTTAACCTTAATTAACCTCGAAATTCAAAAATAAGAGACATCTAAAGTGTAAACGCGATACAAATATTCGCGCGAGATGGATATCCACATTGCATATGAAAAATGTAAGACGCGATGGCGTGAGTCGTGAACTCGCAATGCTCTGCTCTGTGCTACTAGTTTGAAGCACCATTACGAATAAGACAAAAGGAATCAAATACAAAATGGAAATACAAGGAGGGAAAGGATGCGCGTTTACAACGGCGCAGAGATACAACTATTCGTACTTGATGGACGTCCGTGCTGCATCTGAAAAATTGAAGGCGCGATGACGCGAAGCGTGAACTCTCAATGCTCTGCTATATGCTGTCAATGAGGTGTCGCTCAGATTCGGGAGAAAAGTTTTAAAAAAAGGCCCAAATACATTTTTCCTGCCCGCGGCTGTGTTACTCACGTAGTGCTTGAAGCACCATTACGAATAAGGCAAACGGAAACAAATACAATATGGAAAAAATAGTGGGAGGGAAAGGATGCGCGTTTACGACGGCGCAGAGGTACAACTATTCGTACTTGATGGACGTCCGTGTTGCATCTGAAAAATTGAAGGCGCGATGACGCGAAGCGTCAGCTCTCAATGCTCTGCTATATGAGGTGGCGCTCAGATTCGGGAGAAAAGATAAATAAGAGGTCCGAATACGTTATTCCTGTCTTCGGTTGTATTGATACTCGTTCTTTTTTTTTCAAGTTCTTGTCTGATTCTTTTTTAGGATGGATTTGCAGACCCACTTCTTAAGCTCGTGTAAACCGCAGCACTAGCTCAGTTCTTTTGGAAATAATGGTGCTTGGATGCGTCTAGTGGCTTTAATTTTTTATGTTTTCTTTAATTTTAGAAGTCTGTCGGTTACTTCAATACGTTCAAGTTTGTAATTTTTACTCCGTGCGATTAATAAACTTTGAACCTGAAAATAGCGTAAACTTGTGCTGATTTGCCAAAATTTTCTGAACCCCTCTCCAGGGAATGCCCTACCAGAAAATATCACATTACGACCCTTTAGCCAGCCAAGGGTCTACGCCCTCAGATGCGAGCCAGTCCGATCCTGTATCAGAATGCTGAAATTCGTACCTTGTCTAGTGGTCCATTTAGAATATTAAATTCCGTGAACAGAGAATGGCAAGAGATAGGTTGCCGAAGAAGGTCCTTGATTGGGTTTCTCCTGGGACAAGGCGCAGAGGGCGCCCAATGAAAGGTTGGAGGGAGGGGATTGAAGCGGAAATGTTAAGGTGCTCAATGCCCCAAGATTTGTGGTTCGACAAAGAGCAGTGGAGGTTAGGAGTCGTAGAGCGCGGGGGGGTGCTGTAAAAGTGACCTACATGTATGTAAATTCCCTGACACATTTTGGTGGAATTCCCTGACAATTGAAGATGTGACGGATGATCCATAAGGCATAATGGAAAATAGTTTTCGGGCAAAATTTGTTGTTCGAAACCTCAAACCCATTCTGGAAAGCAAATGAAGGTGAGTTAACACATTTTCCCGAACATGTTCGTCATTATCTCTGACTTTGTGAAATTCTCTGACATTTCCCGGTTTTCCCTGACTGTGGCAGTTCTGCTGTCCGCTTCTCGGTCCAACCCCTGAGGCGTTTTGCACCTCGGACGAAATGCTTTACGCGTTACTCAGATGATTTTTTGTGATTGAGGAAAATTCACTTTCTCCTTCAAAAACCTTCAATTAGACGTATTTCCGCCAAACGGAACTATTTGCATTAAGACATGAGTCCTGAGACCCGTAAGAATATATGCATAACAGGGCTCGCGTCATGATGCACATAGTTCCATTTGACAGAAATACGTCCAATTAAGGACATAGTAAGTTAGGAAAAACATGAAATTCAGGAGAGACACAGGAGAAGTACACCGGGAAGGTTGAGTGGGGGTTGAGTAAAATTTCTTGGCACGGGCATGACTTGGAGGCTGGGCTAGAGGGGTTACACCGCAACGCTTAATGCGCTGATGGTGAGCAAACGCGCTAACAAGGGACAGGAGCAGGGGCAGACCGGTGGATTGACGGGGAGGGGGTCGGTAACACGTGTCGCGCGCTTGTAAATTTTGTACGCCGGAGCGCTAATCGACAGGGAAGGCGCGCAAATCAAATTATTCGCACCGCGCCCCGCCGGAATTGGGCTCCGCAGGGGCACGCGGGTGGAAGGGGTGCGGTGAGACAGCTGATTGAGGAGCGATTTGAAGAATAAAGCGTCCTCACTGAACCCATTCGGAAATTACAAAAGTGAAAAGGTAAAACAGGAGCATGATGCGCTGTTGCCGCCGTCAGCTTCACGTAGCTCAATCAGGGTTCCACAAGCGAAATGAAAAATACGAAAGATTTGAAACTTAAATGAAATGTTCCATGAGAATTTTGAAACCTGTGAAAAATAAATAAAACATTCTCTCGGGGGCTGGTGCGCAACACGAAAGAAACTAAAGAGGCGAAAACCATATTTTTTGGCATTTAATTTCGAAATATTTTACAATACCTTTCGAAAATTTCTACAATTTCATTAGATAATTCGGATGAAACAAGATTTCATTTTGAATTAAGAGTTGAAGCCCTGGACTCATTTGCAATATGAGGCGATCCAAGATTAAACCGCTAGACTACATGAGTGTGTAAAAGAAGACTTCTTCTATGTGTGAAATTTATCCCAAAAGTGTTTTTTAAGGAGGCTGAAAGTTTAGTTGTAGAGGGTAGGTTGAAGGTTTATAGGATCACACGAAGAATATGAAATGGACCACATTACATTTTGCAATTAGGAACTAAAAATTATTGTGCTTATAGATACAGCGTAACTGCCATAAGGTGTCTTACACACGTAAGTATTTTTACGGGTGAACCAGATATTGTGATCCTCGATGCAAAATGCATTCCAAATGTTCCGAGGTCGTATTCCCCCTTAAATTTGTGGAAATTTCACGTCTCATTTTAAGATGATGCGGCGTTTCCTGTTGCTTAATCTATTCTTGATTAACTGAGATTATCGTGACCGTGTTCAGAAAAAACATAAACATATGAAAGTACAGATAGCTTCAAATGAATATTTGAAAATATAGGGCCACTGGAAAAACAGGATGGCAACGTGGGAAAAGTGCTTATCACACGCGGGAAGAAAGGGGGGAGGGGGCGGTGGGGGCGCCGATTATTCGCTGCGC